TGTGTTTTTTTTTGGCAGAAAGAGACCAGCAGTGCCCTCACCCATGCTGGTGCCCACCTGGACCTCTCGGCCTTCTCCTCCTGGGAGGTACGTTTCCAGTGCTCTGCACTTACTGTCACATTTTGAGCAGGTGGAAGTTCAGTCATTTGGGGTTTTTGTGTAGTTTTAGTGCTGTGGCTTTGTCCCTGGCTCTGTGCTTTCTGGGTAAAACTTTGATGGTGCTGATGATGTAATTTCTACCACTGGGGGATGTAACTTGAAGATTTGTCACATTCCTCATTTTCCTGGGAGCAGGGGTACACTGTTGACAGTCCTTTCTTAAATACTGTTCATCAGGGTTTTTTCTTCATTAATAAGCTAAAGTGGGCTATATCCATATTGTATGTGTTGAATAGCTTGTCTCTTACAGTGGTTTATTTAATTGAACAGGAATTGGCTTCCCTGGGACTGGACAGGTTAAAATCAGCTTTGCTGGCTCTGGGGCTGAAGTGTGGCGGGTAAGGTGCAGTTTTGTAGAGTTCCTTTCAGTTTCTGAGGTGTTCCTGTATCACATTTCTTTCTGGGATACTTGTGTGGTTATCTCTGTTGTACTAGAATTACCTTAGAGATTTTTGAAAGATAAAACATTAAGAACCAAGCAGTGGGATCTGCTGCTCTGAACTGTGCTGTACAGGAATCTCTGGTACAGTAGACTTTGACTTGAGGAATGAAGGCAAAGATAGAAGGAATCTCATGGTTTCCTAAAAGCTACATTTAGATTTTTATTGCATGAATTCAGATAGTTCTCAGGAAATGTAAAACTGCAGTCTGGATTAATCCCGTCCCTGCTTCTCTGCAGGACTCTGGAGGAGCGTGCTCAGAGGCTTTTCAGCACTAAAGGCAAATCCCTGGAAGCACTTGATCCTTCCTTGTTTGCTAAGAATCCAAAGACAAAAGGAAGCAAAAGGTGAGTTCTTAGAGGTAATTCTGAGGCTGGCAATGGTCTCTCCTCTTGGATGAGGAGTGTTCTTTAGTCACCACTCCTGTGTAGTTAGGACAGAGATTCTGAAGTATCAGAAGCTTTTCATGTTGGACCAAATAGTGCTGAACCACACAGAAGGTACCAGAGCTGAACTTGTGTGTTTAATGAGGATACCTCATCTGTTTCAGAGACACTGAAAGAAATAAAGATCTTGCATTCCTGGAAGCTCAGATTTATGAGTATGTGGAAGTTCTTGGGGTAAGAATTTTATTTTGTTTTTAAGTTTTTGATTTCAGAGCTGTCTAGTGACTGGAATGTTGTCCCTTACCTTTACATTGTGCTTTCATAGACAGCATCACATCAGTGTGCTGCACCACATCTGTTTTGTGCATAAGTCATACAGTACTGCAAACCTTTATTGATCTGCCTTGCTCCTTGCCTTCAGTTTTGGGGGGTTGTTTTCAGGGGGATGGCTGCTGCTGTAGTAACATTGGAAGTGCTGATAGGTGATACAAGGTTTTATTCTTTGCTGGTAGGAAATGTCAGGGTACTAAAACCTGAAACTGTTCGGCTCAGTAAGGTGGGAGTTCTCTGCTTCACACTGGTCTTCTGTTTCCTCCCTCTGTACACTGAGGAGTTTTTTTGCTACAAGAGTTTGGCCTTTTTGCTGTCATGGTGTGTGGACAGTCCCTTCTTTTCTCTCCCTCCAGGAACAAAGACACCTCACCCACGAGAACGTGCAGCGCAAGCAGGCGAGGACAGGGGAGGAGAGAGAGGAGGAGGAGGAAGAGCAGATCAGTGAGAGCGAGAGTGAAGATGAAGAAAATGAAATCATTTATAATCCTAAAAATCTCCCTCTTGGCTGGGATGGGAAGGTAAGAGACTATCAGGCCTGGAGAAGTGGGACAGATCACTGACTCCACGCTGCTTCTGTGTTTGAGTTTCTTTGCCATGACCTAATCCTCCTGTCTCCTTGCTCCAGCCCATCCCATACTGGTTATATAAACTCCATGGTCTGAACATCAACTACAACTGTGAGATTTGTGGTAACTACACCTACCGAGGGCCCAAGGCATTCCAGAGGCACTTTGCAGTAAGTGACATTCACTGAGGAGCAGCCCTGCTGCATTCATTTATTCATTTTAATGAGTCCCTGGGGTTCCTGAGCAGCATTTTTGCCCTGTGGGTCTGAGCTTTTGCTGTAGGGCCATGCAACAGGACCCACCTAGTCCAGTGCTCACTTCTGATGGGTGCAGCGTGGCTTTTGATGGCTGCAGGACAAGAAAATAATGTTTTTATAGAGGACTGGTAGATTTGTACTGTGATAGCAGGTTTTGCACCCTGTTCAGATGTGAATGTCTTGTGTTCCCTCTCACACTGATCTCATCTCTTTCCCCCAGGAATGGAGACATGCCCACGGAATGCGGTGCCTGGGCATTCCCAACACAGCCCACTTTGCCAATGTCACACAGATTGAGGATGCAGTCTCGTGTAAGTAGTGATGGCAGAGCAGGGAACATGTTAAAGAACATGTTAAAAGAACCACCTTTTCTGAAGGGGTGGCTTTGGACCTTGGTCTCATGTCCCATCCTGAGCACTCCGTTTAAAGCCTTGTTTGCTGCAGTTCAGTGCCTCTCAGTAAGCACATGGTGGAATGATAACTTTGTAATGGATGTTAGATACATTCCTGGATTTAAAAAGGAGGGGAAAAAGCTCATGTGTGTATTTTACTGGATTAAAAAACAGTATCTCGAGGGAAGTGGCATAGATCCTGTTTAACTTTGTGTTTGCAGTGTGGGCAAAGCTGAAACAGCAGAAGGCTTCAGAGAGGTGGCAGCCCGATACAGAGGTGAGTAGTGAGAGGCATTCAGTGTCTCCCCTCCTGTGTCCCTGGGAACCCCTTGTTCCTGGTGTGAGCAGTGTCCTCACTTACACCGGTGCCTCTTCATAAACTTCTGTTCCAAAGCCATTTTTCAACAGGGTGCAGGGCAAAAGTGGGAAGTAAAATCTATAGCACAACCTGTAATGACTCTGGCCCTGGCTGAGCTCTTCTCCCAGGACCTGCTGGCAGATCCACTGCCTGCCTTCCTGCACAGAAATTCTGGCAGGGTGCTCATGTTCAATGTCTGCTCTTGGAGCTAACATTTGAGTGCTGTCTCTAAACTGTGGTTCTGTTCCAGGAGGAATATGAGGATTCCAGTGGGAACGTGGTGAATAAAAAGACCTACGAAGACCTGAAGCGCCAAGGGCTGCTGTAGCTGTCCCCAGGTGAAGGATCCCACATCTATAGAGAGAGTGGGTCTGGCAGCAGCTTTGACTTCTTCATTGTCTGGATTTTGTATGTGCATGAATATAGATTCCAATAATACTTTATAGAGTCACTTTCTAGTAAGCCACTTAGAGTTGTGACATTGTTTTATATCAAAAAATACCTTGAAAAATAAAGTCATTGTAATTTAGGAAGTGCTGAGAGACTTGTCTTCTTTCGTATGCTGGAAGGAAGAGTTTTGATTACAGTGTGTTTAAAATGCTTTTTACACAGCTGTGAGAAACAATTCCTTCTCTCATTTCCACTCTGCTGGAAATGTTTATGATGAGGGTTGACTCTGAAGCACATGGACACTGTGCTGACAGGTGCTGGTCCTGTTTCTAGATCTTGGTGTGAACTTGTGGTTTTCTTTAAAAAACAAGGCTTGCAGAACTATTTTTACCTTGGGTCTGTCTCCCAAGGGGAGCTTTGGCCATTGTTTTTTTCAGAAAACTACCAATTGAGCTTCAGGTTTGTCTCTGGGGTGATTTCTGTGGCACTGGTGTTGGCTTGAATGACCTGGTAGATCATCTGTGTGCAGATCCATCTGTGGTGCAAGAGGGTGGGGATGGGAACAGAGACTGTTTAGATGTGCCTGTTGTGGCCTCAGGAGCATCCTTGGCCCCTCATATCACACTTGGAGGTGTCTGTACACACCCCATGGATTCATGATGCCTCAAAAATTGCAGCTCCACTGTGCAGAGGCCACTCACATCACGTGTGGCAGTGGCAGTTGTTGTGTCCCCAGTCCCCTGAGTGCAGAGGTGGCTTGTGTGACATGTCCAGCCTCACAAGCCCTCCCTCCACTGCTGTACAGGGCTGTTTGTGTCTCTGCTGCTGTGGAGCTGCATGTGACACTTCCCCGGGGGCTGGCTGGCAGGGGTGGGGCTGGGCTGTGGGGCAGTGTCACAGCAGCTGCTCAGAGGTGTTCCAGGCTGGCAGTGACTGCAGGTGTGCTGGGGCTTCAGGAACAGGCAGACAGGTGAGTCAGTGCTGTGAGCTCTTTCCCTGCCTGGGGGGAAGGTTGGTCTGGGATGAGGAAGATGGTTCCTCTGCCCTGGGGCTGGACTGGCCTGGCACTGGGCTCAGTAAGGATGTCCAGAGCTGTTCTGGGTGGTGGCTGGGCTGGTTTGCAGGGTGAGGTGCCAGCTGGCTCTGTCTTTCTGTCACTCAGGGAATGGCCTTGGAGGTCTCTGGATGAGCTTCAGCCCCTCCAGGTCCTGGGGGAATGGTGACTCAGCCTAAATCATAAAACAGGAGGGGAGTATTACCATTCTCCTTGGAGAATTTGGCTTTGGAGCCTGTTTGGAGTCACATCACCATTTCCTTAGCAAAACAGGTAAACATTAGGAATGCAAATAGAGGATGGAGAGCCAGGTCACATCTTCACTTGCAGCATGGTGGCACTTTTCACTGTGTCACCCTGACCCCTGCTCGTGGCAGCTGCCTGCAGGGCTGTGCTGCATGAGAGCTCCAGGGAGGGTTGTTGCCACACGACAGCTCACACAGCTCCCCGGGGCTGCTGGTGCCCGGCAGCAACCACGGCAGCCCCGGTGGATTTGGGGAATCTCAGGAGGGGCTGCCTGGTTGTCCCGGGGCTGAGCAGTGCAGGGAGAGCACAGAGCTGTAGTGGGGTGTCCCCCCTGCCCCTCGGGGCAGCAGCTCTGACCCCTCTCCCTCTGCCAGGTGTGGATGCAGCTGCTGGTGGTGAGGATGGCTGGACAGCGATGGCCCGTGCCCCCTGCTCGAGGTAATGCAGCACAGAGAGCAGTGTCTGTCTGTCTGTCTGTCTGTCTGTCTGTCCATCCCCCATCCCCATCAGAATCTGTGCTATTGATGATCCTGAGATTGTAGAAAGTCTCTGTCTGTCAGCCCCGCTGCCAAAGCAGAAGCCATAATTGGTCTGTGCTGGTTTCCAGGTTGTTTATTCTGTTGATCTCTCACATGTTCTGCTGCCCTGCCCAGCTCTGTCCTGCAGAGCAGCGTGTGGGGCTCTGCCCTCAGTGGGATGTTACAAACATTCAATACCAGAAACTCCCTGGGCTGGATTGACAATAACGTGCCAATATCTGTCACCTACGTTGGACAGTGTGTCCCCAGCCTGAACCAACAGAAAAATGCCAACACCACAGTGAGACATGGAGGGCATGAAGAAGGAGAAAAAGGACAAGGCACACCCAATTTCCTCCATCTTGTCCCCTTTGGACCCCTCATCTAGAATCCCAAAATTTTACTTTAGCACCCATGCCACACTTAATTATTACTGATATCAAACACTCAGAGCTTGTAATTCATCCTGTAAGATTGAAAACTCTTTTCCATGGCCAGAGATCACAGCCAGTGTCTCTGGGGGCTCTGTCCAGGGGGGTTCCTGAGCCCTGCCAGGGTCCCAGACCTGCCAGGGCAGCCAGAGGGAAGCCCTGGGTTCCCACACATCCCGGGTCCATCTCTGCTCCAGCTGTTGGGGGCTGTGCCAGAGGCTTCCCTGGGGCGAGGAGTGGCTGCTGTCACCTGGGGCTTTGGGGAGGTGGAGGAGGATCGCTGCTTATCTGTTTCAAGGATGAGCTGCCTGTGCTGCTGGGGGCTCTCTGGGCTGTGGGTAATGCAGATGTGGTGTTCTCAGTCATTCCCATCCTGTTCCAGGCTTGCTGCTCTGCATCTTGGCTCTGCAGCTCTGTCTTCAGGACTCTCTTGCCACAGCAGGTGAGCTCTGCATGCCAAGGGGAAATATGGGGGCCTGCGGGGAGTGGGGCAAAGGCAGGGTGGTGCATCAGAGATTTTGTACCTGTCCTCTCCAGGCTGTGCTCTGCAGGACAGAGCTGCAGGACACCTGAGGAACCTTTCCTTGTGGTTTAGCCCCCATAAAAGGCTCTTCTTCCCAGGCAATATGGCTGGAAGTGGGAGGGAGAGGCCCTTGTGACATCTGTCCACGGTGTTGCTGTGGTGGGCTGCTGGCTCTGACCTGCTCCTTGGGCTGCCCAACTGGTGGCTGCATGTGGACCCTGTTGGGGACATCCTGTCACCCATAGCCATTTCACCTCCCAGCCACAGTGTGACAGATGCGTCCCCCAGGTCCCTCTGGACCATGCCATGGCTCAGGAAGGGACACAGGGCTTCCTGAGCATGTTTTCCTCAGTGTTTCCTTCACCAAGCAGGAGCTTTTTGTTTTCCAGCGCACGGCACAGCTGCCAATACCATGGTGACGGCCACCAAGGACACCTCAGCAGCCACCAAGAAAGCCTTGGCAGGGGTGGTGACCACCAAGAAGGCCTCATTGGTAGCTGTGACCACCAAGAACACTTCAGTGGCCACCCAGAATCCCGCAGTGGTTGTGGTCACCAAGAATGCCATGGTGGTGGCCACCACCAAGAATGCTGCAGTGGTGGCCACTGCCAGCACCTCTGTGGCCTCCAAGAACGCACTGGCAACCACCAAGAACACCTCAGTGGTGGCCGTGGCCACCAAGAACACCCCAGCAGCCACCAAGATTGCCATGGTGGTGTTGACTACCAAGGAGGCCTCAATGGCCACAAAGAATGCGTTGACAACCACCAAGAACACCTTGGCAGCCATGAAGGGTGCCGTGGTGGTGGCGGCAACTACCAAGGAAGCCTCGACAGCCACCAGGAACACCTCAGTGGTGGTGGTCACCAACAATGCCACGGTGCTGGCTGTCACCAACAATGCCTCTCTGGTGGCCACCAACACCTCCATGGAGGGAGCAGAGGAGACAAGGGTAAGGCAGGGAATGGAAAAAGGGGTGTTGCTGGCCAGTGCAGCCCTAGGGACAGTGTCACTTGCCCGGCTGGTCGGTCACAGGAGTGCCATGGGAGCATCTCCTGTGGTGGAAGGAGCACAGGGGTGGCCAGGTGGGGGTGGCCCCTGCAGCCAGTGGGGCTGTGGTTGGGGACAGCCCTGCAGAGCTGTGTGAGGAGGCTTTGCTGCGGGGTGACACCCTGGTGTCTCTCCAGCAAACCTGCCAGAGCTTTCAGTGCTCCGGAGAGAGGTGCTACCAGGATGGAGCCCATGCCAACGGAACAACCACCTGCCAAAATGAGACTCACTGCGAGGTACGGAGCTGCCGGGGGGCTGCACCAGGGAAAGCCTTCCCTTTCTTTACCTGGGAATCCACAGAGCTCTATTGAGTGTCTCCCATCTCCCTTTCCTCTCTGACATCCTGTCAGTTATTTCTGCTCTTTTATGACTGTACCTCTTCACACTCACTTTGTCCCTTTATCCCTTTGTTATAAATGAAAATTTGTCCAGCCAAATTTAAAATGAAAAAATAAAATATTTATTTGCAATCAAATTCTATCTAGCCAGCCACAAGGAAAGAACAGAGCCGAGCCCGGGGTCGGCCCTGGGTGTGCCACAAGGAGTCAGCCTCAGCAGAGGTTTTCCTCTGTGCCCACACAGCTCCATCCTGGCACAAGCAGTTTTTAGAGGGAAAATTCCGCCTGAGGCCGAGATTTTGGCAGTCAGTCTTTTCTTCCATTCAGAGTCCATAGGTTAATAATATTTTCTTTTTTGGTGATGAGGAAGAACAATCCAGTGTCAGGAGTTGTTGAATCCCTTGATGAAATTTATGGGAATGCTGCATTCACATGGATCTGCCCGAGGATTTCCATGAGATCCATCCTGGATCGTTCACACGCTGATCAGTGCCTGGGCTCCCCAGACACGGCTCATTTCCTGGCCAACCACATCCTTTTACATGGAAATCGGGTTCCAATATACACCAGGTTTCACGCGAGGGTGGGGGGGACTCCTAATACAAATGTGTATACTCCAACAAATATTCAATAGCACATATATAATACTAGAAATTGTGCAAACGATATCTACTACACATAACACCTTTATCCCTTATCCACACTCACTTTATCCCTTGACTCTGCCCGTTGCAGCTCTATCGTTTCTCCAGCACGAACTACACAGCCGGATGCAGCAGCGGCTGCAGCGCGGAGCCGTGCAGCTCCGAGGGCAGCAGGCAGCAGCAGCACTGTGCCCTGGAGTGCTGCGCTGGCCCTCTCTGCCTGCAGCTCAACGCCTCTGCCTACGGTATGGCTCAGCTTTGTTCTGCTCTGTCCTGCTGTGTTGGAACTCAAAATGTCTCTCAGATATTTTTAGAGGTTTCAGGCCTTGGTCAGAAGCATTTTAGATCCTGGCAGGCAGCTGGAAACAGCTGTGATTTTGAGTTTGAGCCATGGAATGAGTTACCAACTTTGGAGGTGGAACAAGCAGTCACAAAGGGTTAGATAGTATAGTAGAAGTAGTTACAAAACAGAAGGGAAAATTTTTTAGTATTGTACAAGGAGGTTTTAGCACCTGTACAGGGGGGTTTTTACTTTGTACATGGGGGTCAGAAGTTCTAAGATAGAAGAAAATAAGCTGATCCTATTCTTCCTCCTTCTTCTTCCTTACCTCCATGTTCTTAGTAATGCTAGCATTCACAAATTGGTTTAGAGTAAAAAAGCACTTAGTAATATAGGTAGTAAGTATTGAAGAAAAACTATAAACATATTATACGTAATATATAATATAAAATATAGCAACAGCCCTGAGCAGAGAAAATAAAAAAAAGACACCAGACAATTAGGGTGTCAAAAGTGTGTGTCTCTGCCTGGGCCGCTGATCAAACAGCCACAGCCCGCAAAAACAATCTTTTAGAAACTAAAGACCAAACAAGAGGCTACAAAGTCTTTCTTTAGAAGCACAGGTTAGAAGAAAGACTTTACCACCACACAAAACCCCAAACCAAGCCCGGGGTTCTCACACTGCTGGGCACAGTCTGGAGGGGCTGTGGCTGCATCTGCCTCTCTTCTGCCCCGGGGCTCGCCCTGTCCTTGGGGTTGGGTGAGGGCAGGGTGGCCCTGGCAGCTCTGAGCAGAGTGAGCAGTGCTGGTGAGCCTGGCCCTGTGTGTCCAGCCTCACAGGGCTCCTGTGTGTCTGCAGGTGACCTGCCACCCACCACCGCCGCCGCCGCGCTGACAACCACCGCTGCCACCCCTCGGCCTCCCCCCCAGAACGTAGGTACCACAGCAGAGAGGCTGCTGCACCCAAGGGTGCTGTGGCTGCTGCATGGCTGAGCCCCCACCTGAGCAGGGGACGGGAAAAGGTCCCTCCTCCATTTGCTCAATGGGGTAAAAAGCTGACTCTGGAAGGGCAATAAATCCTGAATGAGTGCTGGATGTAAGGATCCCTGTCCAGTGGGCCTTATCCCTGTCCATCAGACCTGTTCCCCAGAGCAGTGCTTGCATCAGCTCTGGCAGTTTGACCTGGCCATGGGATGAGCCTTCCTGCAGCTGCACGGAGTGTGCAGGACCTCCAGGGTTCTGCAGCCCTTTCCTGAGCCTGGTGGAGGGGAAGGTGCTTGCTTATCTTTGCAGAGCCCTCTTAAGAGGAAGGAAAAAGAGGCTTGAAACTTGCTTGCTCTGCTGGTCTTTCAGAAGTTTCTTGCAGTTTCAGAATACTCCTTTATCTCTGGATCTAAAATGCCTGATAGCACAAACACCAGCAGAACAGAGGAGGGCGGAGAGGAGAGAAGGGCTGCCTTAAATGCAGTTTTTGTCCTTCCAGTCTGATGGACAGATGGTATCTCCCTGGTCCTTTCTCTCCTAGGGCAAAGTGTGTGCAGCATTTTCCTGTCACGGGGACCAGTGTTTCAAAGGCAGGAAGACCATCACTAGATGCATTTTGGGACAGGACTTCTGTGAGGTATGGCCTGGAGCTGCAAAGCATCATGTTCCTGTAATGCTAATACTAAAGGCTCGGCATGACCCCCGGGCTAATGTCTCTTTCCTTCCAGATGAAGAAGATGGGCTTGAATTACGTGTCAGGATGTAGCAAAGCCTGCAAGGCTGCCAAACCAGTCTGTGCCGGTGGGATGAAGGCTGCCTGTTACCAGGAGTGCTGCCCAGCCACCCCAAAAGGCAGCTGTCTGAAACTGGATGGCAAAGTTCACATCAACAGCGCTGGGCAGGCGACTCTGGCCCCGCTCTTGAAGGTCATGGCATGTGGGGTGGTCCTTCTCCTGAATTACAGGGTCTCCACTTCCCTCTGGGGGTAGGTGGCTCTGCAGCCTCTCCTGTAGGATCCCGCTGCTCTCTGGCTTCAGCCAAGGTTGCTAGCAAACACCCTCTGTGCTGTCCCTGTGCCATCAACAAGGTGTCTGGGGCCCTCTGCATCTGCTCATGGGCAGCTGCACGTCCTTGGGGGTCACTTTTCTTGCTCTGCACAGGACCCTGCTGTTGATCCTAAACCCCCCTTTAAGCTGCACTCTGAATCCTGCACCATCCCAGGATGGGTGAGTCCTGGCATTTCACTAAAGTTTAAGTACTTAAAAACAAGATTCCCCGTTTTTTCCCAAAGAAAAAGCACTTAATCTGTGCACTTAGAAAGCTACATCAAGGGATTCCACCCTGCCCTGCCCAAATCCTGCAGGTCTGAGAGACCTGCAAGGGAATTGTGGATACTGGAAGTGGTGCAGTGTGTGCCTCTGCTGCTGGAATGGGTTCCCTCAGGAACAAGAGTGTATTAGGCATACTTAAAACCCAAAAAATTCTGTATTGACTGAGGCACAGAGGCTGTTCTAATCAATGATCTGCTTGTGGCACAGTCTCCCTGCACTCCCTCTGACCTGTTAGCTCCTAAGTGCTCTGGCAATGAAATGCTTTTACCCATGTAGGTAAAATAGTAACTTTATGTTTCATCTCCCAGCCTTAGGCAGGGAAATGGGATTGATCTAAAAGCAGCTCATGTTTTAGATGATTGTTTCACATCTGTGGTTCTCTACTGCTGAAGGCAAAGCCCAGAGGTGAGCACACAGCACTGGTGGAGCTGGCCAGGCAGAATTACCTGGGATCAAAATGCTGCCACTCAAACACACATGCACGGTGCTGTTCCTTGCCACCACTGTCCTCTGCTGCCACAGCTTCCTTAGAGAAAAGATTGCAAACTATTAAAATCTTTGTGTGCTGGTGTTTTGAGTGTGGCTGAACACGTGTGACCCATGGGAGGGAGAGCTGGGCTGGGTGGGTTTGAGCCCTTGGAGCCTTGTGTGCTTTCCCAGCAGGAAGATTCGGTGCTGGCCCTCATGGAGCAGTGGCAGCCCTAAGTGGGTGGATGAAAACCACACCACTCTACCCCAGCCAGCCCTTTCCTCCTCCTGAGGTGCAGCCAGTGCCTGTTGTGGTACAGTAAAACCGCAGCTCAGCGTT